TTATTCCTTCCTTGGCAGCTTCTTCCGAATCGATGTTAACTTCTACTCTTTCAACTTCCTTCTCTCCGAGCTCGAAATCGATTATGGATGTATTCTCAGGTTTAAATTCTCCGCTTTCCACTTCCTTCTCTTCGAGATCGACATCGATTACGGATGCATTATTGGCTTCAACTACTGAGGGCCCTTTGGTGGTGGATTTATCAGATGAAGAACTTGAATTTGCTGAATTTCCTTTGACAGTTTCTAGAAATGCGACCTTTGGAAATTAATAGAATAAAAAATCTTTATGAGGCAACTCCGAATTAGATTCATCGAACATACAATGAAAAGTAACATAACTAATTTTGAAATAATATGTTCAATTGTTAATGTCTGTATGAAGTTTAATACAAAATTTATTAAAATCCACTAAAAAGTGGGAGAGTATTTCCCCACTATCTACAACATATTGATGCAAAACAAGTAGTGAAGTGGAGCCTTTCGCCAAATGAGAACTTCCAACAGAACATAGCTGAAGGCCTAAATAAGAACTGAAATGACAAAAATACTGCTCATATACGATTATTGACTGCACATAAATGTATTATTCTGGGAATATCACAACATAACACATTAAAACAAAATACACATTTTTCAGAACGCCCAATAAAATGAAAAGAAAAAATTATATAAAATAAAAGTAAAGTTTGACAATTTATATTAAATGAGATTCTGCAAAAAATTACATAAAGAATGATCATCACCTGCATTTTATATCCCTCATTGTCCTTAACAACAAATATTTCAAACAGAGGAGTTCCGGGAGATGCTGTCATCAACTGCCTGCAACAATTAACCATTATTACAGACTTTAAGCTTGTACGCAAAAAGTTTTAATGTTTTGAATCTCACAGTTATTACCTTGGACTGTAAGATTTTGCAATAAATCTGCCTGTTCCTGGTGTGATCTGGACTAACCTTCCAAAAGGATCACCCAAATCCTTCGAATAGCCAACCCACCAACCAACCTGCATTCATGCATTAAGTGAACAATAAAGAACAAAAATGACTGCATAGAACAGAATGAAATTTTCATGCCTGTTGATAAACAGAGGAAAGACTGAACAATACCCACAACCGAATCTTAAATTGGTCTTCAGGAGAACAGATAGTAAAATAAAAATACTCCTTTATCAAACTACTAATAAATTTTAAAATAATCTAAACTGGGAAGATCTGCAAATGATATCAAAAGAGTTACCAATCCGCTTCCTGTATTTTGGCATAATCTCGATGCATCGTGGTAACGCTCTTCATCAATCGCACTCTACAGCCAAAAGAACGTATCAATGTTTAGAATAATTCCAATTATAAAAACTTACACAATCAATTAATTTACCTTCAACTCTGACATAATTTCAGCAACACTGTCTTTGGATGTTGTCTCTGCAATAGCCGTCTTCAACTTAGCAGCTTCCCGAAAGTCCTCCTTCTCTATTGCATCTTCCAATTGAAACTGAAAAGCATAAAAACCATTCTTAGCACCATGTCTAGGCTTTTATACATTACTCTATAGAGTTAGACAAACGATGAGAAGTAGTTAGTAATCTGAGAGTAGTTAGGATCTCTGCACAATACACTTACAGTCATTCATAAAGTTTGAGACTGATCAACAATTTAAGGAAAAGATTCAAATGTTGATAAAAGAAACATCAATTCCACAGCCTCTTTTGAACCTTTACCATTGCAGATAAAATCTTTCTCGAACAGATGATAAACAAAAACATACCATTCCAGACCTCAACAACTAACGAATTTAACAATGATAAAGAAAAAAATCACAACTCTAACAAAAAATTGTAAACAACATCAGCTTTAAGCACAGATAACATGCACAAGACAGAAACTTTGAACACTATCTGCAATCATATACCAAAAAATAAAGAAGAAAAATCTCACACAACTAAAAAGTAAATGCTAAAAAGTAAATACACAATCGAACCTTGAGAACAGAGGCATTGTTTTCAGCCTGCTCAATCTCAGTAAAATGGCGGGTCCATTTGTTCCAATCCCAACCCTCCGACGGCGACGGCGACGGCGACGACAACGAACAAGCGGATGACGAGGAAGAAGAACTGATACTGTCACCGTCGCAATCGCCGTAACTCTTACCGTCCTCTAGATTACTGCTATATCGGCAAGACAAACTGAAATCCCTTCTTCTTCCGACGAGATAACTATTGGGCGAATTGGTCGGTGATTTTTTCTTCAACAGGGAGTTGACCACTTCGGGAGTAAAGGAGGAGCGGCGGAACTGCCGCAGAGGCACGGCGGTGTGTCCCGTGGCCCAAGCATTGGCCACCGCCATGTTTTTTTCCGGCTGGAGTGAAGGTTTTGGTGCGAGACGAACTATTGCAGATAGGATTTTCAAAGCGAAACAAAAGAAAAAGGATATTTATGTGATTTTCTGTTTCGGAAAAAATAAAAAAGCATAACTATATTTATTTTTATTTTATATTCATATATAAAAAGTGTATTTAATTTACGATTTTAGTTTTGATTTTACAGTGATTTCCTGTAAGTGAAATTTATATTAAATTTTGAGTTTGTGAGTAGAGCTGTAAAATCAAATATTTATTTTTTCGATTAGTGATACGAATATATAATATATCAAATAAAAAATTATATTTTATGTTCCAAAAATATATCAAATATAGTTAAAAATGTATATGTGTGTATATTTATATTTAAAAATATTATTTTATTCAAAAAATAAATTTAAAAAGTAAATAAACAACTCTTGGAAATAAATTTCGAATCGAATTGAATATATTCAATTATGTTAATCGAATCAAATACGAATCACAAATTAAATTCGATCACATTAGATCCGAATAGTTAATAAATATTTTTACGAAACCAAATTGAATAGCTTATTCGAGTTAAATTCGGTCACATTTGTGAATGAATATGAATTAAAATGTAATTATTAAAATTGACGTGATATTAAAATCTGAAAACATATCAAGGGAAAGAATATGCAAAATGCAGTGTAGAAATTCCACAAAAGATTACATTCAATCCCTCTGAACAGAACACATCCCCATCCTCTTTCTCAAATGCTGTTTCAAATTAGATTCTTCAATCCAAAAGGTTAGACCATTAGAAAAAACACAGTTAACTAAAAAAGAAAGGACCCGGCGAAAAACGGATTCAGGCCCGAGGCTGGCCCGACTCCCCGACCACCACCACTTGCACCTCGGGCTCGCCAGAGGGCCCAGCATTCTCGGCCCTGATTGGGCGGAGCAAGCCCTGCAGTCTCAGCAGGTAGCTTTGGCTCGGGGACTGGCTCCTCATGTACTGCTGAGCTGACGTGACCGTGTTAGTCGGGGCCCGCTCGAGGTCTGGCTGGATATTGGACAGCGCACTCAAGTCGAGGTTCGGGAAAACCGAGCAACGGCACCTGGGGCATTTCACGTTCAACCGAAGCCACTGGTCAATACACTCCACGTGAAAATTGTGGGCGCACGGGAGGCCACGAACCTGCATTTTTCGAACAAACTCAAAATTCGAAAAGAAATAGAAAGATTCGTCCCGATTACAGATATGTCCACCTATGTAGTAAATAAATATTTATTAGACCTCATTTCCAACACGAAACTCTTCCAAGCAAATGGGACATTCGCTGCAGTCGGTAGGAACTGCTTTCATCCGGAACTTTGGAAGTTCTTGAATAAGTGCTTCCACTGCCTCTCTCTGCATATAAGCATAAGTTTTTTTTGCATAATGCATTTCTAATTGAATGATAACCGAATAAAATCGAGCAAAGTCCATTTGTTACCTGCGCTGGGGTTAAGTAAAGTCCAGGATGGTATGGGCCGGCATCTTGGCCCATTCCTCTCATCTCTTGCCCAGCAGCTTCAATAGCCCAATCTGGCACCCTAACCATGTCAACCAAAACCTGAAAACCGAAACTTAGATTTGTCAGAAATTAATACAAGAATTTAGGGATTCAAAAAGTAAATATGAAATCTACATATGTGAAGTCTGCATTTCATGAACTAGAAAGAATTGTGAAATGTAAGAAAACAGATGGTCTTATAAAACATCTTCATCTATGAATGCAATCAGTTACTAAAGCTTACACCATATTCAGAAACAGGAATCCCTTGTTGTGCACGCAATAGATGCGCCTGCCTTCTTGTTAACCACTGAAAAAGTAAAAAATATCAAGATCAAGAAAGCTTAGTTTACACGAGCAATTAAAGTAATGTGAGGATCTAATCCTTAATGCTAAATGAAAATAAAAAGGGAAATATCTGTAGAACTTCATAACGGCTTCATCAGATTTATTATCCTTTTTTTCGGGGTAATTGCAAAAAGAAGTACCAATGAGATTCAGTCTGATCAAAGAACACGTTTTTATTTTATATCACTTATCGCCACCTTAAGAACGGGACATTGTTTTGTAAATTTGAACGACTTATCGAAAAAAGGAGATGGAATAAAAACGAACAGTAAGAACACAAACCTTCCCCATGCAGATGCAAGCAATGCACACAAGCCCACAATAGCTGAAAAGCAACCATATAAGAAAACCCCATTTCTGACCATCCTCCGGCAGCTGAGAAAATATTTTCAGATATTATATTATACTTGTTCCTCATTTGCAGCATACTGATTATTCAGATAGAAATAGAAACCAAGTGAAACTTACACAATTTTTTGAATGAGTAAACCACAGAGTGCCAACAACAGTCCAAGCCAAAAGGAAAGGGTAAAGTAGCAGAACAAGAATCGAAAGTACAACAGCTCTCCCAACAAAACGTGCATATCTTTGCTGCCAGCCGAGATCCCTAGGCCGTGTGTCAACAGAGGCAAATAATCAAGGAATAACCGAGTATAAGACTTCACACAATTCTTAAGTCAATACACAACTGAGGTCTGATTTATGCAACTTATATAACTATATTGAACCTAAGTGCATTAGTAACAAGATTCAAGATTCGTACCTTGAACATGTCAAGAAATTAATATAGCTCAGATGATATCGAACACTTAATAAAAGATTAGACCAGCTTACAACATTTCACGTGATAGCAAAATGCAGGTAATGTATGAATACTACAAGAGTAATAGAACTATATGGCAGTAAACAAAAATAACCTCAACTTGTAAAAGGAAAGGGGTTCTTACAATCCCATTCCAGCAGCCAATCCATTGTCCACAAACATCAATAGCCGGAAAATAAACACTGTGGTATAATCAGCCTACCAATTCAAGACAAGAACCACCATTAATATCAGTTACAACTTCAAGATCCCATCAAGAAAATACAAAAACTCATTGTTCTGCTCTTAAAAAATTAAAATATTACTCACCACAATCCATACGTGCAACGGGTACGTACATGAGTGGTACTTTTCCCAATTGATAGCCACGATTATTCTAACAAAAAGGTTAAGAAATCACCCAAATCCGATAAATAAACGGCAATCAATTATATCAATCGATTAATCCAACGTTCACCATTCAGAACAAATAGGATAACAAAAAACCCACAACACTGAAGAAAACAGTTTGTGCTAATTAGAAAACAATCTCGAGCTCCCATTAAAACAGGATACATGCTTGTCGCAAGCATGGACAAGAAGAACCCATCATACCTGCAAAAAAACGAGCACCCACATTTGAAATAAGAAAACTTCACCAAAACCCATTAAGCATTGAAACTCGAAATTCACTAAATCGAACAGTTACACCGTCCGGGTTTCATTTCCCGCTCGATAAGTGCAAAATTTTCAGTCCCTTCATTTCTTCAGAAGAAAAAAGAAAAAAAAAAAATATTACCACTTGAAATCGACGCCTTTGATCGCCATTGAAAAAGAAGCTTAACCCAGAATCCAAGATTCGATTTTCATTTCACCAAGCTATAAGCATTCAGACACTGAGTCCACTCGCCAAACACGGCCGAATTATGTACGATTTATTTGAAAGAATCGTACTGAGAATAGTGGGGTGACAGAGAGTGTGTGAAGAACAAGCAAAGAGTGTGATTCGATTCCAGAATTTATGAGAAATAACAACGCGTGATCAGAGAAGAAAGGCAATTTCAAGAAGCAATTTCTCCAATTTATTATCTTTCCTCATTTATCTGTACTCTGTGGGGGGGGTTTATTGGGGGTGGAAAGCTTGTGGGCTGTGATAATAACCATACGCTTTTTAATAAAGTAGAAATGGAGGGAAAATGGAAAAAATATAATTTGGAAAATAAAAAGTAACTGCATTTTATGACTCGATTGTTTGATAGCGGATTGATGCAAAAAAAAAAACTTACGGGAGACGTTACGGTTCCGTTATGGAATCATTCCGTCGGAGTTTGTAACCGTTAGATCAACTATTTTCGACAATTACATGATAATTTAACGATTATAAATCCAGACGGAATGTTTGGTAACGGATTGATGCAAAAGATTAACTTTAATGGATTCATCAATCAAAGTTGCTTAATTAGTTATTTGATTATTAAGCTTCCGATGCTTCAACGTTAATTCTAAAAAAATTCAAAAATGTTACTCTTTTTTTTTTGGAAATTTAATTTATTGATCAAATCAATTAATACAATATGATATCAACTACTACAATTAGTTATTCGCTGTCATCCGACATCTCGATTGTACTAATTTTTGTGTTATTAATAGAATTATAGTTTGAAAAAAAAAAAAAAAACTTTGGTAGTTGGTAGATAATGTGTGTATACTTTGGTGAATAGTGGATAAAATCACTCAAAACTGTACTTCCCACCTAAAAAGTCTATCATTAGAGAGCTATTTGTGATTAACTTGAGAGGGTAAATCTACTATTTACATGAGTTTTAGATGCAAATTAGACTAATAAAAGTTTTTAAACGTGATTTATTTGAAGGAATTTAACTATATATCGTAATATAAGCTTTAAAATATTTATTTTCACATATCTTACTTTCAAGTCTATTGGGTTTGTTGTCTTTAATTTATTTCTTTTGTATTTTACTTTCTTTGTACAATTCTTCATTACGTGTAATGTCAATAAAAATTGAAACTACAATAATTTATTTAACATTTATATTTTTGTTATTCAGTTTATACATATCTGCATAGCCGTTACACACGTAGACTTATCATACTATTTGAACAAAAATATATATTTATACTATTAAATATTTTACTTTTTGTTTATATTATTTTCTTAAAATATAATATTTTTTAATTTAATAAAAGTATATATACTTAATTATTAACACACACCAAAAAAAAATAAAAAAAAAATTGACAATTATAACACTATAAACAAAGACATACAAGTGGATGGCCAATGCATTCAATAATCATCTTAAAATTTACTTTTCTTTTTAGAAAGTAGGTACACTGTTTGGTCGGTTTAGGCCAGCCTAGGTGATATAATCCACCACAACAAGTAACACAAGTTTTGTTTTTTTGAAATATTCCCTTTTTCAGCATCCATCAATTGTCATGTATTTAAAAACTTGAATGAAAACTTTCCCGCCCTTGTGGTGCTACCCGATTCGATTTTAAATTAGTCGGTTCCTATGTGGATCCAAAAATCGGAAGGTCCCTGTACCAAAAAAAATAAAACATTAAAAAAAATAAAAGGTGGAAAATTCATTTTCAACTCTCTAAATAATGAGATTTTACCATATAAATGTAGTATTGGACCATATGAAAAAAAAAAATTCACTTAACAATTAAAGTGTACTTTGCAAATGTCCTTCTCCATGCCTCAATGGTAGTTCCAAACTTATTATTAAGAAATTATATCCATTTTCTTGCAAAGTTATGGGTGTGTTATTTGTGGCCAACTTTAATATGGTTGGGTCTTGTTAAATGAAAAAACAAATGCAATTATTTTTTGTTTAAATGGTATGTTGGTGTTAGGCAGTTATAGTTCTCAAGGAGTTAATAATTTTTATGTAGCACGATTTATCATACGAGACGGTCTAACCGTTAGTAAACTACCCCTCGTACTGTTTTAACAAAAATACATATTTATAATATGAAATGCCATGGTTTTGTTTATAATTTTTTTAGAGTGATATTTCAATTTGAAAGTAAATATGTTGAAAAAGTACGACTTCTTAACCAATGAGATTGTCCATCGACAGTCTTACTTCTTTTGTAAATACGCATACATTCATGAATAAATGACGTACTTTAAAAATAACATAAACGAGAATTATGACATTTGTTAGTGTAAGTATAAATTTTCGTTCAAAAGTAAAATACTAAAATGCGCCAGCAGTCTAATTGTCAGACCGCCTTACACAAGAATTTGTATTTGTTAGTTAATTTATTAAGGCCAAAAATTTTATTAGGAAATTACATTTCCAAAAGTTGCACATTTACAAGTTCCATTCATTAAGAACAATTCAGAATATACAACTCTATTCAATTTGTTCCAAGGATGCAAAATAAAAATTCTATAGAGCCATCGAATGGTTTTCTTATGGAGCTATTCATCACTTAACGTATTGACACATGTCTAACGTGTATGTAGTAAGACACGTGTCAATACACTATTTGTAAATAACTGTGGATGCATAACCGAGCCATCCGATGACTCCGTACAAAATTGGGATGCAAAATCTGCAAACAACAACAATCCAACATATATTTATCAAATACAATCATCATTATAACCCCCATCAAGCAGCAATAAAATATCTGCTTCAAAAATCTCTGGAAAATCCAAAACCAGATTGATTTTTACAGTTCAAACTATATATACACATATCATAAAATCTTGAACTGATTTTCAAATGTGAAGAGAAATTCAATTGCAGTTTGGAGGGTTTAAGCATTTATAAACAGCAGAAGCAGGTTGCTTGTAAGTTGGTACATTACTTGCATCAATGAACCTCACTTCACCAGGCCTGAAAGCAAGATCCATGTGCCTGCAAAAATACCAGCAGAAATTCGAGCAATTTCACCAAAAATATATATCTATTTATAGATATAGAATATACATACAAAAACACGTGCCTTCGTAATTCAAGGCCAACCAAACCGGCTTGTAGCACGGTTAAGTTATCGGAATCCGGCGAAACTATAATGACAGTGTCCTCGGAATATTGTGTCTCGAGAATGGACATGAGTTGTGTGACACGAACAAATACATCCTGGACGCTTTCATTTGGCGTCCCGTCATTTATTGGAGGCGGCTTTATGTTCGGTGAAAGGCTATCCGAAGCATACACCTAAAAAAAGGGGATAAAGAAAATAAATTTAGTTATTCTTTTATTACACATATGTACTTATATGTAGCAGTCAATATGTGTTGGTAGTTTTAAGAGTTGGATTTTTTAATTCTAATTTTTTATTTATTTTCAATCAAACCTCCGAGACAGAGTCGAGCTTCTTTCCTTCATACACTCCCAAACCCCGAGCATCCAAGAAGCTGTACTCGGGCACTATATTACTGCATTAATATTAAAAAAGGATTAACAATGACAAGCAAGCTTGACTCAAGTAGTACCTTTTCAAAGGAAATTTGTCGATCAAGTAATCCAAATGATAATTCTGAATATTTCTTGCTATAGACACGACAAAGTGCATACCTATACACATATAGTTCGATAACATAAGCTAGGCATAATAAGAATAAAATTGATAATAATATCATTATTGCTTTATGTTACAACATTGAACTAAATGATTATCTTCAGCCTTACCCGCAGGCAGCGAACAAATTCCAGTGTTTTTTTATCTTTTTATGCCGTAAACAAAATAAAGGGATCACCAAGAATGCAAAAATACACCAACACACACAATTTTTTAAAAAAAAGGAAAATGAAAAATGTCTGCGAGCGAGTCACGAATACCTTCTGTTGATGCCATTAACGGCTGCAATAATCTCGGCAGATTGATAAGCTCTCTGAGTAATAGAAGGCCAAATCCAGCAGTTATTTTCACAAGCACCCATTGATTTCAAGTCCAAAGCTGCCCTGACTATCTGTTTCTTGCCTTTTTCAGATAACCCATTGTCCATGGACGTTTTAGCCACCGGATTTGTGTTAATTACGCCGATGCTTTCGTATTCAGATTCCCCTGCTCTCACCAAATAGTACCTTTACAAAAAAGGGAAAAAAAAAAAAAGAAAAATAAAAAGAAAGGGAACCCCACAAAGTTGAGAGTTAAGACCACAAATTTCAAGTGTACAAGTAGGAAAGAACTGATCAACAGAAAAATCATTTGTTTGGAAAAAGTTTTTCTATGCTGCAGTTGAAATATATATAGTACTTCAAAACCAGATAAACCGGGAAAAAAAATCATTTATTTATTGTTTAGATTTTTTCCCCTGCAAATGGCACTAAATCAACAAAACTGGCTCTGCTATGTATCAGTACCAACAAAAGAAGAAAAAAAAAAATCATTTGTTTATTACTATTGAGGGGCAAGGGAACCAAAACGATACTAAAATAGTTAGAGCGGTACACAAGCCAAGCCAAGCTCGAGCTTCTAATACTCGAGCTTGGGCTTGAGCCGGGACAAATTATGCTAAAAGTTCAAGAAATCGCGCAAAACCCCCTATTTATCAATCCCAACTAGCCTTAACGAACTGAGTTCTCGAGCGGCTCGTTTCTTTTAAAGGCTCGTAAAACACACCCAACATTTTCCGAGTAGGCACTGTATTAGGCCGGACTAATCATTAGAACGACATATGTTTTGATCCACAAATATGCATACCTTCATTGGAAAATATCATACTTCAATAAACATCATAAACAAAAGTATAACAGAAGATGACATTTGATAGTATAAGTATGCAATTTTGTTCATGAAACCATGGCGGGTCGACCCGTCCAATGGTTAGGCCGTCTCGCCTAAGAATATGTGACATTTTCCTACACAATTGGATAACCCTACGTTTTCTTTCTATCAGCCAGAAGGAAAATAACAGAACAAGCACTTTCATATTCTCAAATGGGTCTATCGCAGCTCAAACTTCACCACAGGACAAACAATTATTAAAAAAAACAAAAAAAATTCATTTTACCGATTGGTGAGGCGAACGGGTGGCATCTGAAAGAGCCCGCGGGCCTCCGATGCCGGCAAAGAAAACAAATCGCCATAGTGTGTGCGACTCTGGATCGGCGGTGACGTCAGGAATGGGGTTAGCGTGAGAGAGAGTGACGTGAGAAGAACACGGCGGTACGATATCTGAAAATTTCGTTGATGAAAACGGAGCTGAAATGGAAGAAGATGAAGATGAAGATGAAGAACAGTCGTGGGCTGGCTTTGGAATTTTTGAGGTAGTTGTTGTCAACATTTTGTTCATAATGGGTTTGATTTTTCTAACGTCTGTGGACTTAAAAATCATTTTTCCTTTTTTATAGAAAAAATAAATCAAATAAATATCTTCTTCGGATGCGGGGCCCGTGGTTGAGCCCAACCCAATTCTTACAAGCTGACTCCTTAAGTTAGGCCGTTTCATACTCAAGGATAACCCAACCCATATACTACTATATTGTGGCCCATTTTAAGATTGGGCCAGCCTTACAGTATCCGGGCCGCCTGAGATCGATTTATTTTAGAGGAATTTGCACTCCTTACCCCTAGATGTGATTTTTATTACACTTATATGTCCCTTATCTAAAGTGAAATTTTTACACATACTTACCGTTTTTTAGTTATTTGCAAGATTACCATTGAAAGAAAAATATTTATGTGTTTACCTAATAGATAAAAAGATATTATATTAATGCCTAAATAAAATCAGTAGATGTGTGAAACGGTTTCCATGATTTTAGGGGGCACAATCTCAAGCGGTTATTATGGAAAAAATATAATAAAATTGAAATTTAGCAGCATATTAATTGCTGAAAAAACGCAGCGGAAACCCATATTTTCCGCACTATTTTCTGAGGTATATGTGCAGTATATTTTTGGTATTTTTTTATCAAAATAAATTATGTAGGTTTTAATATTTTTGGTTTATATTTAGCAGTTTAGTTTTATGCGTGCAATATATGTTCAGTATATTTTATCTTTATGTTCAGTTTATTTAGAGTTTATGTTCAACAATATATTGTTTGGTTTATGTGCAGTATGTATATTTCACTAATCACTCACGGTTTGGAGTATATTTCACGTCACAGAGAATGTATATGTGCAGTATATTTTGGTATTTGTTCATAGAAATAAATTGTGTAGTTTTAATATGTTTGGTTTGTGTTCAACAATTTATTTTTATATGTGCAGTATAAGTATATTTTTGGTTTATGTTCAGTATATTTTATATATATGTTCAAAAATATATTATTTGGTTTAAGATAGATATGACTAAAACAAATCTACCAGACGTAACATAATAAAAACTACAACAAAAAGGTATTGCATATACCAAACATATAGCAGAAATAAACCATTGGATAATAAAAAAAAGACAACATATACCAGACGTAACATAAAAAACGACAACAAAAGGTATCAAATATACCAAACATATACTGTACATATACTGATCGGGTGTGGTTTTTTTTTCTGTCGATATACTCAACACACAGTCCAATACTCTAAAAAAATCGAAACAAATCCGGCATTGGTAATTGAGGGAATCATCCTCCGGAAGATATTCATCCTCTCTTCCGTGCGACTTGGCCTAACTTACCCCCATCCTCCAATAATGCATATTCTTCTTCTACGCCAGTTAATCCATCTGCAGCCCCTCTTCTTTTGTCTTCATCCTAATTGCAATCCAAATTCTATTCTCCAACACAAACTCAATAATTCACAAATTCATATTCCAAATTATGTAACACCTTTTCATCATCTAAATCATAAGCAAACAAGAAAAGATTATAACTAGACCTCCA